AATGCAAAAAAGTCGTAATTTTGATATTTAAATTGAAAATGTATAAACAAAAACGAACTTTATTACACTTTTTCTTTTATTTTATATTAAAGGTGACAGTTACTATTGACATTAATAAAAAAACATGTAAATTTCTATATAAAGCAAACCAAAAAATAACAAAACAAAAGCAAATATTCTCTTGTCAATTAAATCTTTGCAAAATGTAAACATAGGTGGAAAAGGAAAACAAAACTAAATAACGGTACATCATTTTCGAAAAAAATTGGTCTGCTTCTTTAATTTGCTCTCCACTAATATTTTAATACGATTTATTATTTGGACAAGTGCACATTTAAACAGAAACTGCGATTTCAACCAATTAATTAATATAATTAACCGTGCAGAAAAAGAAAATCGTCCGCACCTTAACAATTCTAAGGGAAGACCACCAAAACTCAACAGACGCGATCAGTCCAAAATTTAAAAAAAAAAATAGAATAAAATCCGCAAACAATTCTGAGGCAGTTGGCATTGGACATAAAAAATGAGTGTCATAAGGAAGTGAGCCACGAGACTGTTAGAAAAGTCTTAAAAATCCACAAGTACTCCTCTCATGTAGCCATGCTGTTAACACTGAGAAGCGGCTTACATTTTCTATTAATAATGTTACAAATGCTGAGGAGTACTGGAACGACGTAATTTTTTGCGATGAGACAAAAATCATGTTATATCATCTGGACAGACCCAGTAAAGTATGGAGAAAGCCAACTCTGCACTTCAATAAAAAAATATAATACCAACAGTTAAGTTTGGCAAGCTCTCTGTAATGGTGTGGGGTTGTATTTCTTCAAAGGGCGTTGGGGTGCTGCGTATTTTTAACGAAACTATGACGAAAGAATATTATTTGGACATTCTGAAAAATGAATTATCCAGGAGTGCCAAAAGTTTCGGGTATGTTGATCCTCCACAAATCCACAAATCGTTACTTTGCAGGACCTGGTTGCTTTATAATTGCAGCAAAGTTATTGACGCTCCTCCCCAAAGTCCAGACTTAAATCCCATAGAAAATTTGTGGGCATTATTGAAGAAAAAGGTTGCAAAAACGCGGTCCTACCAATAAAAACGCTTGAGTCAAAGCAATACAAGAAGAATGGCAGAAAATTCCTGAATATTACGATATAAATGGACTAATACAGTCAATGCCGCGTCGGCTAAAGGCAGTCATGGATGCTAATGGACACCATACCAAATATTAACCTTCATAGTAAAAAAAATTTTAAGTTTCTGTTGTAATTCTACTATGAGTTTTAGTTTTGCAAAGAATTTATTGACAAGGAAATATTTGCTTTTATTTTGTTTTTGCATTTTATTTTTTTATTTAATGTAGAAACGTATAATTTTTTTCATTAACATCAATATTTACTATTAAATCTAATATATAGTAAAAGAAAAAAATGTAAAAAAATAGTTTTCTTAATAAATTTTTACTTTATATATGAAAAAAAAATAATTTTTTTAATTTTGCAAAGAATTATTTGACAAACTGTATATATAATTTTTCTGTTGGTTACAGTTTTTAATAAGCCTCTGTTAGCTGTATCCATGGTACAATGAATTCAAGGTAGGGCAGAACTACCATATGATTTAAATTTTTTTATTTTTCTGGCTTAATATGTCAACTTCATTTGCTTATGTGTGTGTCTTCTTTTCAATAATAAAAAATTGTTCAGAAAATATTCAAATTCGGGTGTTTTCAAAATGCTTATTGCAACGAATGCATCGACAAAATCTACAGTTTTTGTCGCGAAATAAACCATAAGAGATATATAGAACATGATATTGAAAAGAAATCTTGACCATTCATTCAGTTTTCGCGGTTTTAAATTATTTATTCAAAATCAATGCAACAAGTTGTTTGCTTTTTTATTGTTTTGATAGTAATTCTGACATTACAAGCCAAACAGGTAGACCTCTATACTTGCAATTTTTTCAAAGTTGACCTACCTTCTCTTCATTGTACCATGGCTGTATCGAAATACGTTCATAACATAACCTTGAGTTTTCCAATTTCAAATGAAGAAACAATAGGAAATAATTACAATATTAGAAATTTCCATGGGAATTATACACATGTTCTCACTACCCTAGCCCATTTCAAGTAGCCGTGTTAATTTCCATTTATCGCCATACCTTTTTTAAAACTTTTCCTTTTGTATTAAGACAGTCCAAGTGATAATAAGACAATCGACCATGTCTGAAAAAAGACTTCAGATTCAACTCGTGCTGTAATTAGTTAATTATTTTTTTTAACACACACATACACATGTGTGTGTACGAACACAAATGTCCATTGCAAAAATAAGATACATACGTACATACTAATATGTATGCTTGGATACAGACATACGAATACACAGAATGGCAATAACTCATTTTTTATTAAGTTATCAGATGAATAATATCTTAATTTTTTGTGTGTTGGACTGGGGGAACTAAAGGCCTTTTGAAGGGGCTCCATTTTGAAATACACAATAAAATTGTTCTTTTTTTGTTTATAATGCAATGAATTAATCATAAATAATAAATAAAAAATAATAATTAAATTTTGAATATTTCAGACAATTGATAGAAATGGGATAAAAACTTTCATAAATTAAAAAAAAAAACTCAAGGAGCAAATCTATAATTTGGCATTTTACGGCATTCAAATCAGCATTGCCATAGACATTTGGTTTATTAGGCTAGGTGAGCAGATTGTTATTTTTTGGGGTAATCCCCCAACTAACTTCCCTCGGTTCCTGTAAAACAACAATTTTGCAGAAAAGACTAAAAAAGAAAATCAGCAGAAAAATTACAACAGTGAGGCGAGTGTGCCGCGACACGAGTGGGCCTATATCTCGTTTGCGGCGGAGCTCTAATATTAATAGAAATATAGAAATGTTCAAATCGGGGATTCATTACCCAATTTATAGAAGTTTTGAAAAATTCACAGTTTTAACCCGTTCCGAAAAAAATCGGACTTCCACGAGGGACAATCTTCGGAACAATGAGTTTTCTGACAATGGCATGGACAACACACCGATTAGAAAGAATTGCAACCTTCTTAGAAAGATTAAAAAGAATTTCTCCTCTCTTAATTGTAGCCTGCCCTAGAAAGATTAAAAAGAATTATCCCCTCCCCTGAAGCGTGGGGAATTTTCAGTCTTTTAGTGGAAAATATTTCCTTCCCGAAAGTAATTCAGCTTGTACCAAAGTTGAGTCGAGAATTCAAAAGATTGGATCGCTGTCGACCACGCCAAAGACCTTAGCTTCAAACAGCTGTGAGACGACTGCATCTTTATAGGTGGGGTCCACCTCAAAATCCCGTGGTGTTCGTATATCTCTTGTTAGGCAGAAGGCCTATTCTGTAATTTTTTACAAGTTTGTGCAACCTGCCAGAACCTACTAGTTTTGCAACTTTTTCCCATGGTAGAATCAAGGAGGTAAAGTCATGCAATCATATGTTCACAAACTTTTCAAAAATTATTCATTTGACAGCATCTTATTGTCAAAATTTGTATTTATAAATCCATTGTACATACACAAATTAGAGATGGGAACCTGTTTTTATTTAGTGAAATGTAACAAGATAAACTAGAGAAAATGCAGAGATGGGTATTCTCATTTGAAATTACTTTACGATGTCTGTCCGTCTGCCTGTTGAAATCAAGATACAGCTCACATTATTTGACGTAGAGCTTTAAAATTTGACACCGTTGCTTTGTGTCTAGGATGGTTGGTATTGAAAATGAAATACATCGGTCCACGTTTAAGGATAGCGGTACCTCCCGATATTAGGTATTTTGACGATTTTAATCACATATTTCCACCAATTTGTCTAAAATTGGTATTTGTAGTTCGTTACGGGTTCTAGCTCCGGTGGCAGAACATTGAACATCTATGTCCACGTTTTCCTATACCGCACATATAATGGTTCTATCGGATATTTTGACGATTTAAGCCATATTTTCCAATAGATTTGTGTGACATTTGGTATTTGTACTTCATAAAGGGTTCTAAAACCGTTAACAAAACGTTGTCCTAGTCATCCTAGTCACATTTACCCGCGAAACTATGTAAAATTTGGTAGTTAAGACTCACAATAGATTACAATCGTTGTAGTATAAAATTGTCTTTATAGACTCTCTGTTTATTATGATCACCCATATAACGGCTCCAACCATTCTCTTTCTTACTGGAGTTGTAGTTTAAAGTGGAATACGTTTAAATCCAGATAATTTGCATAAAAATGTTTTCTTTACCTTTTTTCTTATTGAACAGTTTGTATCATACTTTTGAGCGGAAACCCAGGCTTTCCATTTATATTTCTCCTTTTTTTGCCCACTTCAAAAAAAGGATCAAATTAAAAGTACGTTTAAATCCACTCGATGTCAAATGCTAATTCCATAGCGTATACATCAAATAATGTCCAATGGATTTATGAATACGATTTACGTGGCGTATATGCATCAATGCTTGGGAACATTGTTATGTCAAAAATTTTAAAATGTATTTTCAAAAAATAAGTAGATTTTTCTACGATGCCAATAGCAGGTTGTTGTGATATGCAATTAAAAAAAAAAAAACAAAATTTCAATAATTTTTCATTAAAAATTTTCAATTCCAAAATTAGTTAGCTCATTGCCCCAACTGTTGTGTCGATGCGACTACCTCCTCAGGCCCTTTAAATGAAAAGCCCGGTTGTGTCCGACAATAAGTTCGTTTTATTTTTAAGTATAGTTTTTCACTTCAGCCGAAATAAAAAGTAGATCATAAATTTGAGCAATTTTGCAATTGTTATTAACCACAACCACATACATTTGTATAAATGTATGTTTGTACGTTTGGTTTGTAACTCTATTGTGAAATTATGTTTCACTTCACTCTAACAGATTTATTTTTTTTTTCAAATTCGTTTGATTTTTTTGCTCATATAATGAGTGTACATTTTGAATTCAGTTACAATTTGTTTAACTTACTTCAGAGTCATTGTTTAGAGCGTTTGCTATAGCCTGGGCCATCTTCTCGCTGACTATTGTACTTTAAATACTCAGATGTTTTTTTTTTCGCTTTTTCATTCAAATCGTCAATCTTAAAAAAACAAATAATAGTTGAAAATAGTTTATTTTCAGTATTTGTTCAATGTATTCCAGTTGTACGGATTAGGAATCAATGCTTACATCAGTTTTGAAATTCTATTTTCGACACAATTGTGTTGTATCCGACTGTTCGTTCAATGGGAAGTTTTAAATCGGAATTATACGTCCGGTATCAACAATATGCATTAAATTCAGCTAAATATTTAAAAGAAATTGTCTTCTTTGTTTGTTTTTTTTTAATGTACTTTCAACTACACAGGTATGTGCATACAAACACATGTACATATGGTTTTATTTATGTATCAATTGTTATTGTCCGTTGCTATAACAACTTGAGTATTTTTTTGTTAACGTTTTGGCGCGCCGCTTATGTTCGTGCAACACAACTGAACGCTTTAACAACTCGACATTAACTGAAAAATATCAAAAGAGCAGAGAGAATACCCTGTGTCCCGAGTACGAGCAATGTTTGAGCCATTCATTCATATTGGCTTTGTGTCGTGTCGTTTTTCAATTCTAGAAGATATCATTTCCAGCAATTCAGATACGAAGATGAGTTTTGAATTTTTTTTCAGTATCTTGGCACATCATTCATTCAACTGAGGTTGGACAATTTGGGATGAGTAAGAGTGTGATTAATTGAGGAATGCACATTAACATATTCACATCAGTTCTTTATTAAAACGTTTGTATACCCTACACCACCACCATTGTGTTGCAGGGTATTGTGTCCTTGTGCATGTCCGTTAAATTGTCTGGAGGTACATACAATTTTGTAAACAAAGTATAAGTCGCGTATATATTATTGTCTAGGTGGGCCCCGTGGCGGTCCCTATTCAAATAGACTATGATTTAGATGTTGTTATCAAAACTAAGTCCGTTTCAGATCCAGAAAGAATCTAATATCATTACGATTTTTTATTATAAAGCAAAAAAAGTCAGTAGAGACGGACTCGAATTCAACCAAATTTAACAGATGTAGAGGACAAAGGCTGCATAGGGCCTCTCGTTTATTCTATTGGAGAAATCAAGGCTAGAATAGTTTTACTATATCTTAAAAACACAAAAACTCCAGCCACTAACAACCAAATTGCATCTGTTGAAGCAACGACCGCGGACCAGACAAAGAACATAATTTTAAATTTAGGCGAGGACGACGTACTAATGACGTACAGGGACGTTATCTGTGACAGTATTCACAAGCAAAGGGAACAGTTGTCCGCCCTTCTGCAGAAAACCAAGACATTGAGACTCTGTTAGAAGTGTTCTTTCTAGTATTGAGAACAACTCACTTCTATTTGATGAGGAACTTGGAATCACTATCATCCTCTGTAAAACAATTCTGTAAATGCGATAAATGAAAAAATTGAGACAGTCGAACATTTACTTTGCCACTATTCCACTCCCACACAGGGTCGTGGGAGAACAATTAACCCACGATCTGTATTCATTCTCTAAAACCGAGTCTGAAATTATTCGACACTTGACTCGATAATTTTTTCAGACGTGAACTATCTTTTAAATTCTAATGATTATTTTTCTCTTTTCTCCATGATAGGATGAACCCAAGTGGAACGGTTACCCTAAGACAACCGCGCATCATTTAACTTAGCCTAACCTAACCCCCTCTAGATCCAAAAAAAGCTAATGTTAAGTTGGAGTTATCTATAAATCCCACAACTTCATGTAAAGCGGTGTCCACTATTCGACCTTTACATAAGCGTTGTGCGATGTACTTGTTTTAAACGAATTTCCACATTTCTAAGGTCTTCGTTAAAAACAAAGAAAAGCTAATCTGTCTATAGTCATTGAGTTATGTGTGACTAGGTTTTCCAGCTTTGGGAGTATAGATCAAAGTTACCTCTTACCACAGACTGAATTCGAAGCACTTATCGGGGCCGATACCCCCGTCACTTCTGGGATAACATCACTTGCTGTCGACGTCGAGACTGATTTGATATTCCGTAACGGAATCGAGTGTTTATATATTTACTTTTTTTACTTTTACTTATTCAACTACAGGGTGAGATAAAAAAAACTGCAACAAAGTCAAACGCCATAATTTTTACATTTTTTTTTTTAAATTTTATTGAATGAAAGCAAAAATGTCGCAAACAGCATCAAATTTTAGAATAAGTTTAGATTTGTTCGAATTTGTCACCTTTGGCAGGAATTATGGCCTTCAAACGGCCAATGAAACCGTCACACTCAGCCCGAATATTGCTCTGCGGAATTTTGGGGCATTCCAGTCGAAGCCCTTGCTTGAGGTGATCAACACTTTGGTATCTTTTAGTGCCGACCTTGCTTTCCAAAATATTAAAGACACAATAGTCCAACGCATTGGTATCCAGAGATTTTTTGCGTGCCCAAGGTTTTAATACACCCTCCAGAATATTTTCGCGATAATATTCGGCATTTATTCTGAAGCCACGGTCGATCACGGAGAGCGACTATCGACTATTATGGCGGCCCACACCATCACCATGGCCGGTGCTTGAGTTCTAGTGGCCAACCGAAGGTGCACATTTTCAGCTGACCTCTTTGGCAAGTAAACTCTTTTGAGTCGATGTTCTTTCTGTTGCGTTGTAAGTTCTTGCACTTTTTGGAATTTCAATGGCTTTACCCCGAGCTCATTTTTCAATATTTGCCGAATGAATTTTTGCGATATGTTTAGCTCACGAGCCATTTTTCGGACACTGCGACGCGTGTTTCGATCAAGTCGCTTCTTTAGTTTTCGAATAACTTCTGCTGATGTTGCTGTTTTCTTCCGTCCACTTCCTTGACGTCGGGCTACGCTACCAGTATCACGGTAACGAGCGATGGTACGAGAAACATAAGATTTATTCACATTTAAATGCTGGAGTGGTCTAACGATAGCCAGTTGTGGCTTTCCAGCCAAATATAAAGAACTCAAGCTTAGAAATGACAGCAGCATACAGGTAGATGCATCAACGCTTGGAAACGTTGATATATCAAAAATTTTAAAATGTTTTTTCAAATATAAGTAGATTTGTGTATGTTTTTTATACGACACAAATCGAGTTTTTTCAACCATTTTTACAAATTCCATAATTGGTTTCACACTTCATTGTCCAGCAACTTTGTCGATGCTACTACCTGCATTCTTCTACCATGGATTATACTCAATGTTCGACGCTGCCCATAGCTGAATTAATATATTAATAGTTCAAGACTAGTATACACATAATGTTATAATGTTAGACTACTAAATCCACTCGATTTCAAACGTTAATTCCAGAGCGCATACGTCGTGTTAACCGTATTCATGAATCCAGTGTATACCTGAGATCGAGTGGGTTTCGAAAATCTAAACGTACTTTTATGGTCATATATGAATCTACTTTATCTACATTTATGTTAAGAATTTTTATAACATACTTTCAGGCGCTTTACACTTTTTATACCCTCAACCATATGGCTAGAGAGGGTACGGTACGGTCAAAACGTGCCTACTCGAAATAACGGTTTTAGACCCTAGGACTCTTTGGCCCAAATCTGTTTCAGGACATTTGGAGTCGATATAGCGATGTCCGTCTGTCCCCACAAATAGTCGAAATTTTCAAAAAAATATTTTCTGCGCAGAAAGGGTAACGATAATCCGATTTACTCCAACTTTGCAAATGCTAATATTTGCGTCAGTGCTAGGTCAGTTTCGAAAGTGGACAATATCGGCCCACTCGATCAAGTACCTCCCCCACAAGGGTCAAAAATTAGAATAATTACAACTCTAATAAAATGTGATGTAAGAGTCCGATTAAATTTATTAAATTTATTACCCCAAGGTCTGGTGCTAGGATGGAATATATCGGTCCACTCCTTCTGGTACCTCACGCACAAATAGTCCAAATTTTCAAAAAAAAAAAATATATATATATATATATATATATATTCTATATATATATATATATATATATATATATATATATATATATATATATATATATATATATATATATATATATATATATATATATATATATATAGTGGTGGCCATGAGGTTAGCACACTTCATACTTTCTGTTTTCTAAAGCAAAATATATCACTTCATTGCTATTATAAACTAAAGTTTTTGGTAATTAGTGTTGTTTATGGTGTGATCAGTAAGTCCCGTTATTTTTTTTTTTTTTTGCATTCTATCGTTATTCTTTTTCAAATTTACAATTTATTGCAGTAATGTGTAAATTAAGCTGGACACAATTTTAGCACATATAAGTATAATTACATGAAGGTACAATGAAGGTATAAATATTAATTGGTAAATTTAGGTAATATTAATGAGGAAGACAAACTGACTTAATGAACATTATTTAGATATGGCTAAAAAAAGTGGTGTACAGAGGAACAACGAAAGATTATTCAACAAATGAACTCGAGAGGAACAAGTATAAGTGAGATTGCTAATACTTTGGAGAGTTCCAGGAGGATGGTTTATAATGCACTAAGACATATTCAGAAGTATAAAACATCTCAAAATGTTAGACAGGCTCCTCGGCCCAGAAAAACTTCACGTAAAGAGGACTCTATAATATACAGAGCGTCTGTCGAAGATCCTTTTAAGAGTTCCACCGTAATCCAGAGAGAAATTTCAGGAAAATATGGTATCAACGTGTCCAGCAGAACGATAAGACGAAGACTTAATGAAAAAAATTTACGTGGATGCATATCTCAGCATAAGCCACATGTTTCAAAGAAGAACATACAAGCTCGGTTGTACTTTGCTCGTGAGCATTTGAAAAAACCGTTAATTTTTTGGAAAAATGTACTTTGGAGTGATGAATCTAAATTTTGTAGATTCGGATCGGATGGTAAAAGGTATGTATGGCGTCCTCCGAACATGCAACATAATCCAAAGTACACAAGTAAAACAATAAAACACGGTGGGGGGGGGGGTAATGTGATGGTGTGGGCAGCATTTTCTGGGTATGGTGTTGGTCCTATAAAAAAATTGATACTCGTATGGACCAGTATGTATACCAGAATTTACTTCTAAATACAATGATACCATATGCAGAGGACAACATGCCACTTAGGTGGCGATTTATTCAAGATAGTGATCCAAAACACACCTCACGCTTAGTGAGGTGTTGCTTGGAATCGAACAATATCGACGTGTTATAATGGCCAGCCCAATCTCCGGATCTCAATCCTATTGAGAACCTTTTGAATGATGTGGAGCAGCATGTAGTGAGGGAAAAACCTAAAAATTTGGCCGATTTATGGAAGGAAGTAGAAAAGGCTTGGAATGGTATTTCAGTGGAAAGCTGTATGGCCCTTGTAGAGAGTATGTCAAGGAGACTAGCAGCTGTGATCAAAAATAAAGGATATCCAACTAAGTACTAAGTTTTTAGTAAAATAAGTGTTTTTGTTTTGATACATTTTTAATATAAATAAACTTTT